TTTGATCAATATAAGAGACAGCCCCCAATTAATTTCTTAATAGTTTTGTGCTTCAGAAGTCTGAATAACAAATAAAGAAGCTGTGTGAAATTACGCTAATCAGTAGCAAAGCAAAATTTAGGTGAATGTACCATGGAAAATATACCAGGCTCTTGGTAATTTCTGTGGTAGTTGCAAAGTTACAATATAAGGCATGCAAAGAAACTGCATAGGAGCAGGGTTCAGCCAGCCACATTAAAAAAAAAAAGTGGAATTCAAAAAAGGTAGAAACTTATTTTTGTTCACACTCTGTCATTGCCTGTCTTGAGGGATATTTCAAATATAAATTCAAGATAACAGAATCTGTATTTATCCTTTCAAGTTGCCTATAATTAACTTTGTGTTTATCAATAGGAAAAGATAATCATAAAAAGCAAAAGAGGAAATTAAGCATTTGTGTGAGAGCAAGGAGCAACAGGACAGTGAATGACTACACAAGGCTGTACCTGTCTTCCCATGCAGGGAAGCAATTCAGTATGAAGGGAGAAGAGCAGGGGCGGGGTGGTGACTTCTTCCCTACTTCATAGGCACTCCCAATTTTTGCTGAGCAGTTCTGTAACTGCTGTTTTCCTAGTACGTGCATAATACACAATTTTTTGTGGTTTCATCTAAAGCAATGGGTCAAATCTTTATCTACTGAATCAGTAAGGATTTTGAGGCAAAAACTATGGATGCTTTCTCATCACCATGTTGAAGACATCAGAACACGGCCTGTAACAGGCTCTCTATAAAATCCGTCAGAAGCTTACCATTCACAGAAAAAGATCAGAATCTTTTATTACTACAGTGACTAATCTGTGATGTCAAAAAACACTTTCACAGAATATTCTCTAGTGAGCCACCAAAACACGGTGTCTTTTCACTAGATGAAAGAGACATAGTAACAGACAATTTAAAAGGTTGACATTCAATTTGGAAATTACTAAAGAAAAGCAACTCAGTATTTCTGCTTAGGTGTAAGATACTTACCTTACTTGAAGAACAGACTGATTTTTTACACAAGCATTTTTTTCCTTTATACTGTGACTTTGAAGTACACTGTCATTAAGTGAACGTGGAATATGACTCTGTTCACTTTGTCTAGTAGAAGCATTTACTGGATCCATAGCATTCACTATTTTATTTTTCAGTGGAGAAGAATTTACAGATGTGGCAAGAACTTGATCATCTGACTTAAAGGTCAACTGTGGACAATGTACTACTTTATGTGTTCTTTCTGTATAAGGTTTTGGATCAGCAGGAATCACTTCATGGTATTTTGATGCTTCAATATTGGCTTCTGAAGATCTCTCTACAAATACTCCTCCTTGCACTCTTTCCTGTATTGAAAACACTAGTTAGCAACTATACAAGCTCTATAAAAATATTAAACCAACCTAGTAACAAGATTAACTAGGATAGACCAGTCTAACTCTGAAGGTAAAGCAAATTCCAAAGAAGCTTCAAAAACCCGACTGAGCTGAGAGCCAACAAGACAGCAGTGCTGCTGAAGGTGTTAAAGGGGTAATTATTAAGTGATAATTCCATGCTGAAGCAATGGATTTGCCACTAATACAAGGCACTTCTAGAAATGAAAATATTTGATTAAGATCCAGCTAAATAACTCAAAAATTTGCTGTTCCACACCCAGAGATACCAAGTAGTTACACAGCGTAAGGAAAATATAAACCAACTTTATTTCAGTTCATGTTCACATTTTTCATTATCATCTATCCTGTAATAGCTGTACAATCAAGGGTATTTCATGAATGCAAATATTATCATTATAGGTTCAAATGATTGATAATTAAGAATAAATCTAACTCTTGTTTCTCCAACTTAAATGATCTCAATTTTGCATAAAATCTGGTTTTATAATAAACTAAAATGCTTCATGAAAATATAGATGCCTGCATTCTCTGATTGCCCTACATACTTCTAACTCTGTATGACATACAGTCATGGTAAAAGTTGCAGGTTGTAGTTTCACACATAGCCAATGTTTCCCCTACTTTTCTAGCTGACACTGAAATTATCTTAAGGGTTTACTTTCATTTCTCCATAAACTCTGGAAAGATTTGCTTAGTTTTATGGTACTTTGGTAAACAGGCAAACCTCATCATGTTCTTTTTCAATCAAGTTTATTCTGTGTAAAATTTCTTTTGCTTTCTTCCAGTAGTCTTGCAGACTTCTTTTTCTGACTTGCATGTCCAACTCTTCTGCATTGTTCACTTTTAATAAATCATCATTTATTTTCAGGGACAACTGTTCAGCTTTATAAAATATAAAACAATATTAATACTGCAAATTTTATCAGTGAACACCTTAATAAGTATTTATTATATTTTAGTATGCTGAGGAACATCCCCAATAATTTCATGCAAAATATAACCGCTGAATAATGGTTTTTATATAACTTAAATTTACATGTAAATGTTAATACACTTCAAATATGAACTGCAGTTAGAAGAAGTAATCTTGCAATTATAGTTACTCTAAGCTGTTTACACAATAATGTCGTGCTCTAAAAAATTACTGTAATGGACTTAATCCTAACTCTATAGGTCCTTTACCTGTGTATGGGTGTCTTATTTTTTTAAAAAACAACTCCATATTGATGAACATTGAAAATCAACATGACTCCTCAATCTTAAACAAAACTCTCAGTCATGTTTCAGTACAAAAATGTAGATACATTGTTTTTACTAATTATCAATTGCATAATACCTTCCATGCTTTAGGGATTAAAGGACAAAATGTCTTTCTGTTTCATTGGTAGTATTATAAAGTAAATTTTAAAAAAGCTTAAACAGGATACTTCAAAATACACCCTACTTTAAAAACAAAGATCAAGATTTTTTTTAATATTGCAAAATAATTGTAGTCATGGTGATTTTGGGCTTCATGATTTACTTGTTTAGTCTCTATATAATAATACACACCCAGGAATAGAGTATCAATTGTGTTTACGTTAATATTTTGGGCATAATTTATAGATGGGAAAGCTTTTAGGAACTGGCCCTACATATAGAGGTTTCACAAGTGCACTATCTCAACATCATTGGAATTCTTACTTTTCTTTTTTTCTGCCTAAATGCCATGATGAGTCCATGGCGGCAAATATGCAACTCTTCTGCACAGAATTACGAAGCTGCTACAGTTAAAATAATTTAGAAATTCAAGATAACTTAAACATGGAAATCATCTCTAATTTTAAAAGCAGTAACAGTAAGCTTACTCATTTGTTTGCAGTTTTGCAGCACAAAAGTAGCAGCTTTGTTTAGTTCCTCATCCTGAGACTCGGTTAATATCTGAATCATAAGTGGAAGACCATTGTTCTGGAGCAGCTCACACTGGTTTTCTTCTATAATAGGACATTATAAAGGAAAATAGATTGGTTGCAGCCTCATACACCATCTTACAGTAATTTTAGAAACTAATACTTGTAAGTTGCAGGAAAATTCTGAGATATTTTCATTACAGATCCAAGCATGCTGTAATGACTTCCTACCCAGACAGCAGCAGCAGCGCTCTAGATCACGCAGGATGATCTGGCCATAGCTCAAAGTTCTTGTAAGAAAACTAAAGGAGGACTGAGACAAATTATATGATGGAGACCCAAACTCATTTAGTTGTTGCCTAAAATATTTGAATTATGGCTTCTCTATTTCTTTTCCTCTGGTATATACACTCTTAAATTATATATGCTACATTTATGTAAACCTTGAGATGCAGATATATCAAAAACTTACAGTTTGTAATTAGCAAAACACTAATAAAATTAGTATTTTAATCCTGGTCTAGCTAATCTGTTCCTCCTCATTAACTATGTAATTAGCTAAATTTTTTTATTGTGATCTCAGTCGCAGTATGTATTGATAAAACTGACAACCTTCCAAAAATAATTCTTTGTTGTCTAAACTTGATAGAACAAGGGAATCAAAGGATGAAATACGATTATCTTGTCAATGTCGACATATTAAGAGGAATTTTTATTCAGTCAGTTTATTCATATTTCTATTTGAAAGACATTTTCCATTAAGATTTGTTTTAAGTCTTCATGAAAAAGTGTCTTTTAAAAATATCAGATTTATGACCTACTGAACTAATTATTGAACTTGTTATTAACATTTAGAGGATGATAATCAACCATGATTTTTGAATGTAATCCCTTTTTCCTGCTTTTCTCAACATACATGAGAAACCTTACTTGGTAGGTATGTATTGTAGCAGTTTTCATGTCTGAATGAGTTTTACCCTGTGGTAACTAAGCCCAGCTCTGAATTCTTGCATAACGGTCTACTTTTTTTAAGTTCCTAAAGATACTATCTGTTAACAGGTTTTAAAATTTAAAGATGGAACATTATGGCAAACATTTTTTCCAAATGTTAATATTACATCATTTAATAGAATTTTCCCTCACGTTCCAGTCTTGCTGGAGTGACACCATTGAAGTAGTTAGCGTATGAAAACATAGTAGAAAATGACAGAAAGAAAAAAGAAAAAAAAAAATCTTACCACAAACTTCAGTACAGTGTCCAATTGTTAGAATAATACTTATTTTTTCTCCTGTATCCAGAATATCATTGGACAGCAGCTTCAGTAGCTCTGACACAGTGTGATATTTTGTCAAGACAACACCCATGGCAGCTATTATGTTAAAAATAATTTGAAGTAAAATAAACTAGGTAATAAGTATATAGGCATCATCCAAGTATAAAATGCTGTTGTTCAAGGGAACTATACCAACTTCTAAAATCCTTAGGCCTGCAAGGTCCTTCTCTTCACTCTTTCATTTTAATGCTTGAAATGACCACATCCCTCCTAGTGCAGTAACTCTGCCCATGCTGCTCCCCATATTCAACACTGCCCTTTCTCCCAAACTGTGCTCTATAGAGATGTGGCAGAAGATCTGATAAACAAAGGCTCTGCAACATGCAAGTTTTGCAGACCTCTGCTGAGTTTCTCCACATCCTTTATCAGCTCCAGAACAGAGCAAGAAAGATAGAATAAGGTTTGACACATAGTCTATCTGCCATAAAAAGAGAGAGGAATGTTTCTAGTACAGGGAAATCTCTTCCTTAAGCTGAGATCATCACTGCTAGTACATACATGCTGAAACCCAATCCTGTCACATATCAATTTCTTGAAACTAGGCTCAAAACCAGTGCAGGTATATGCTTTTAAACTCTTTTGAACTTCCATTAGTGAGCACCTACGGCAAAATCCGATAGAATACACAAAGATGTAATTAGGATAGTGTTATCTAGACAGTAAATCAGAGTAAAGATGCATCAGGCAGACATACCATATTTGTTCAGCTCCACACCCAAGTTACTAAAGCCTGCTCAAGCGTATGAAGCTTATTAGTTTAGGCATAGACATACAGAAACACAGCTCCAACTCCAGGATCCAAACTGATTCCCACACTCTGTTCTCAGTTTTACTTACACAAAGCCTCTAGCATCTTATTTTTAATTTTCAGTATAGTTTAAATTTCACTATGTTTATTTTAGTAACAATGGGAAAGCAACCCACCTCAGATGAACTGAATCATTCCCCACATATACATTTGAATTTTTTAAAATCAGCAGTATAGACTGGGATGTATATAACTTCACTGCCTTTCAGAATCCATTCATATCACTTTTCCACCAATATCAGACTTTAAAAATTTCATTTTAAATTTAGCACGTACAAAAAAAATGGTAGCAGTCTTTTCACTCACAGTCATTAGCAATGCAGGCATCCATAGTCTTTGTTACTACTACTGCAAGTTTTGTGCTTGAGTGACTCATACAGGAATCATGCATCAGCTTGATGAGAACTTTAGCTAATGTATCCAATCCTCCAACCGAAACAAAATATTTCTGCACGTATACTTAGTGGGGGGAAAAAAAAAAAAAAAAAAGAAATGTGTCTTAAATAATACAAGTTGCAAACTGTTCTGGCATTTTAACAATCATTACAATTTTTCTGTGCATGCATTAACCATTACATTTTCACCAGCAGTTGGATATATATAAATCTCAAGAAATGTAGTAATTGTCTTATAAAATAGCTACAGAAAACACATGGCCCAAATACATGCATACAAACAGCAAACATTATGCCCAAGTTCTACCCAAGTCATTGTTTTCGATGTAATAAGATGTAATAATGACTTATATTTGTAAAATACTTTTAATCAAAACAGCTTCCAAATAGTTTTTACCAGCCTTACTAAATGCAGCCAGTTTGTGGCTATTTGTGCACTTAAGCACAATGCAGTACAAGTACAGATGGTGGAATATAGTTTTCAGGGTAAAAGCTAGAAGAACAGCAAATGGATTTATAGAGATTGACAAAAAGAAATAAAACATTTAACTACTGACTTAAACTTATTTTTACAAAAGAAAAAATATTTAAAGCTTGTGCTGCACTTACAGTTATTTGCAACTGTGAGACCAACAAATGAACAAATAGGACGAACTATCTCAGGCTCCGTGCAACTTTCAAGCCACTCTTTGGCATATGGAAAAACTGAACAGCAAATGTTTTGATTATCTTCTAGAAAAGTAAAAACAAATAGCCCCAAATCAAAATGTAATGTGAAATTTCAGTTGAATAGTAAAAGTGAAAACAATCTGTTGTCACTTTGGAGAAATACTTTAAACTTTTTTTGCAATGTGAACAGCAACACTTACCATTCTGAGGATTGTTAACACAGGCACAGAGAGTACTGCAGACTGAAGACCACAGCTGATAGCACTGATTAATATTTTCGTCTGACAGATTGACCTCAAACGTGGAAAGAGTTGTTCTGTTAAGAACAATGCCGACAAGTCCCAATAGTCAAGCAAACATAAATCCTAAATAGCCCATCATTTTTGTTTGAACTGTGACGGTTTGTGTACCTGAATAGCTGTAGCAGAAGACCAATGCAGCCTGTATCTCTGACACAGGTTTGCCCACTTTCTAAAAAAGAACACATACAAGACTCCAGACACATGCAACTTGACACAAAATCTAAATGTCAAGTTTAACTTACATATATACATTCCATTTCCTAAACATATATCCCCCAAAAAACAAATACAAAATCACACCAACACATTGACAATAATGTTCCATTTCTATGTCTTTTTTTTTCTATACACTGTCAGAAACTACTAGTTTGCATTTTTTAAAAAAAGTATGGTTTCATTTGCAGAATTAAATCACTTTCTGCTATTTAAGGAAATCCCAGTGAGCTATGATCTACTTACACACTTCAGGTTCAGTTACATGCAAGCATTCATCTTTATAAATTAACTTTACCAAAACATTACTTAAGAGTGTTCCAAATTTCTGTACTGCAGTTTGGCAAATATAAAAAAATTGGTGTTACAACACAGAAAAAAAACCCAACTTACTGTTATTTGAAACCAGTACTAAGATGACATAAACAGACATTCTTTTCAAGTTCACACCAGAATCCGTATTAATTAAAAATAAAATGAGGTCTTCAAACAACGCAGAAGTACACAAAGTTTGTTGACAATAAACTGAAACCAAAAAATAGAAACCATTAAGTCCTAAAGCAGAAACCATTAAGTCCTAAAGCAAGCTATTCATAAACTATTTTTGCAATATAGTAACTAGAATCTCAGTTGCATCTAGTATGTGGTGAGTGGAGACAAAACAGGACTATAGCGACTGAGGGCTTCCCCCTGTAGTCAGTTCTACACCAACCAGGACCTAGGCAAACTTTGGAATAATCTGTGAGTCATTTAACACTTGCTACTGAGGAAGAGAAGTAGTACAGCTGTCTGGTATCACAAAGACATGCTATTCACACAAATCAGCAAGGTTTTTCTCCAAATCTGGGAATGGAGAGTGAAACAGTGGCACTTTTACTGCCTCTCACTCAAACTGGTAAACTTGTAATCTGATTTTCTGAGACAAAAAATAATGGAGACAAAGCACAAAAGTAATAACATATGACTCTAACTCGGTCAGAAATACAAATAATATTACTTATTATTACCGTTACTCTCTATTATAAATCCTAATGTAAATAAAGCTGCTTCCTTTACTATGCAATGAACACTTGACTTTGCAAGATCGTTTATAAACATCAAACCACCAATTTCTCGAAAATATTCACTTGCTTCACCTATAACAGAAAAAAAAAAATCAGCTTTTCCTTTTGTTCCTTCATAAAAAGAAAACCTTCCGAGATTTTATAACTTCAAGCCTTGTATCATTTAGATAGTCTTTTTTACCATGACAGCCAGCTTCTAAACATATACTGTGAACATAAAATTGCGCTGTTTCTATGGAAAAATGCTTCTTACTGTTTTGTTGACAAATTGAATAAATAGTGATCAAAGCCTCTTTCTGAGATTCAGGGCAGTCCATCTGATATTTAAGGCATTCAAGCAATAAGTTCAGGTCTGTTTTCATATCTATAGCAAATGAAAAAAAAGTAAACGGTTATCTTTTCTTTAATCTATTTAGTATTACAATAAACCTGCCCCCAAATTTTGTATTTTTAAAAAATAATCAACAGCGAGAAAGAATGGAGCTATGCCACTTTTATCCATCTATAAAATAACAAACACACTTAACCTAAAAAAATTCCTCTCCATAGTTTGTTATTTGAACATGATTTTCTTTGCTCAAGTAACAGCCCCTTTTTAATATTTCTGGCCTTTAATTACTAGTAACTGTTAGTAAATGTGATGCAAATTACTAAACATTAAATTTGCTATCAGAAGGTGCATTAATAATGCAGAACCATTCAAATATTCAGACTGAAAACACAGTTGAAAATCTGCAGAGTGAATGGGGAAAGAATCCAACAAAGCAAGGCTTGCTATATGATATTGAGTTACAGAAGATGTAATCACTTACCACAGCAGCTAGAATCTTGAATTAGGTTGTTTTCCTGGCACCTACATACAACCTTAAGTAGGTAAACCACTTGGGAAATCTGTTTCTTAGAATTTTGGGTGTAATGAAAATACTTATTTGATAATTATTTACAATACTAACAGCAGATACTGTATATTTAAAACACTTGTAAGGTTTGGGGTTTCTTAAAAAGAAGTTAAAATACAATAAAAATGTGGGTAAATATCAGAAAAAAAAACCCCACGCTTTGTGGTGGTATTATTTACTATTTGAAAGTTTGTCATTAGATTTTGCCTTTATCTGTCAAAAGATTTTGCAGCAAGGAAAAGAATGTTTCCCCAACAGCTCACCACCCCATGAGACACCTATGACAGTCTAATAATACATTGTAAAATTGATGCAGATAATAAATGACAACATGTATTAGGTATCTTACCACACTGTTTTTTCTGCACCTTTTGATCTTCCATTTTTGATAGTACCTGTCGTCTTGTTCTACAGTATCAAGGAAAAAGAATTTTCTTTTCTGTTTAGATTAACAGTGTTTATAATATCATATGCAGTATAAATTACATCCTTTTTCTTAAAATACACTCCACTTTTCTGGTTTTACACTATCATCTGACACACACAGTGTAATATGCTCTTGCATAGCAAAGATTTTCTTTGGAAATACAGTATTTTATAGTAACACTGCATTTGTAACTACTGTATTACTATGTTTTGGAATTTAACATTTTGCAGAAATCGGGTGATTCCATGCTACACCACCGTGGGGCACCAAAAACGTCCCTGTCATCCACTGACATCCACTATAGAACATTCAGCCTCCTATTGCTACTCAGTGAGCCACTAAACCATAATTGTGTTGTTTTATCGGTATTGGTCAAAACCAAAAACAATGAGCATGAACTGAGAGCAAGAGTTACTGCTTAAACTAGGAATTTATTTTAGTTCACCAAAGACATGATCACATTACATGAATGATGTAAACCAGAAAAACTCACAGCGTTGATTCTACATAAACCTAACATGCCAGCATCCAAGAATTAGTCGAGCAGAAGAGCAAAATGCAGGTTTGGAAGCAGAAAGATGGTCCCTTAACCATGCCCCAAGTCCCAAACCCAAAGAAAGGTTGATGGAAGCATCACAAGTAATCTATTTCAGTCTCTCAAAAACTATTTAGCTCCAGGTAGAAACTTTAACTCAGTGATTAATCCAGCTTAACAATGGAATTAGTTATCCCTCTTAAAGTAGTGCAAAGGCTCTAACAAATGTTAATGAAGACAGCCAGCCCTGCTTTCCATTTATTTACTGATTGCTCGCATTGTTCTGCTGCTTCCATTAGTTCAGATGCTCTATACACATCCTTACAGTAGCATTGGTGAAACATGTGATTTGAGAGGGAATGTTTAAAAACAGTTCATCTTCCTTTACTCTTTCAGAAGTGATCATATTATGCATTTCATTTTCTTGCAAATCTAACCCTGTCACAATACTGGAAAGCTTGCAATCTTCCTTACCTCTTTTCGTCCCTACTGATACCATCCTGCTAGCCCAAGAGAAAACAAAAACTACCTACATATTCCTTAACAAGAGAGAAGCTCTAAGAAACAGCTCACTTTGGAGCTAATTTCATTTCAGTAAAGTGCAATTAAATAGACACTTAAACAATTAAAGAGCCTTTAATGTAAGGGGGTTTTAACACTATAGAAAGATACATCTTGACCTTAACTGGATCTTTTTCTTTTACAACATACAGAAATACAGTACACAAAATATTACTTATAAGCCAGCCTACATTAAAATACAAATAGCTTGTGTTGTTGCATCACTCCACACTCCGCCTCGCGAAGCGACACCGCCCCCCGCGCAGTCAGCCACCACCTGACAGTGCCGGCACAGAGCGCAGGAAGAAGAATCCTCTACTACATGAATACAGCTGAGAACACCAAGCTTTCAGGCACGCACTATCCCTTCCCCTAATGTCCTTGCACTCAATAAAAAGTATCACAGCTTTCCCTCGCTCTTCTCAGACCCTCAGACCATCCCAGTTACGTTAGTCTTTTCCAATCTCTTGCATCTCCTCCCCCCTCAATCTGAAAAGCAGCTTTGATGAAAAAAATTCAGCTCAGCTGCAAACCAGGCAAGTCAATTTGTAAATGTAACTTACCCTGCCACACAACAGCTGCTGCTTTTTTCTTTGAAAGGTCAACCAGAACATTCAAGATTAAAAAAAAAAAAAAAAAAAAATCAATTTTGGTATGATTTTATTTGTCCTCAGGGGGAAAAAAAAAAAAAAAGATAAAATCGTTACAAATAAAATAACTTTAATTGGCAAGTAATAGAGAACAGTCCAGTCAGTGGCAGAACACCACACTATTTACAGGACGAAGCAGCAGCACCTGGTGGCAACAATAGCAAGATCTTTATCTACAGCTGGAAAGTCGCTGAAGTCTGTGACATCCCACTGTATATGTAGGTGTTATTAAAAATTACAAACTGCCCTGTAATGACTTTGATAACTTCCTGTGCAGCAGCTCCTGTAAAATAATAATAAAAAAAGATTAAACAAGGTAATTATCAGGTCATATTTAAAAAAAACATAAAATGTTATCTAGAACTCACTACACTAGAATAATTTCAGAAGTGCCCAATACAACTTGTAGGAGAAAAAAATGCCTTTCAGTACTTCCCACTATAAAAAACTGAGAAAGCTGTTACTTCAAAAGTCAGCTTTACATACACTTTGCTACATATACTTTCTCTCTCCATGTACATACACAGAGTAAAAATGTGAGGAGACCCATGCCAAGTTGTGACCTCTACACACAAAATAGAGAAGTTAAACTAAAAAAAAAATAAATTACGTGCAGTTAAACTATAAAATAAATTGATAAAATAAAGGATCACTGTGATCCTTTTGTGTTCTCCTGTAGTATGAAATGTTCTGTAACTTCTTCAGAAGATATCTTTACATATTTTTTCTAAAGCACTACACATACCAGGTTTCACTTAATCAGAAAAATTCCTACATCCACGGAGTATTTAATAAATTAAAAACTATCTTCAGCACTGCATGAAGCCAAATAAAGAAGGTAAGTTAACTGATATATCAATTCTGAGCATCTGTTAAAACATATTTAGTTTTAATAATACCCTCAGGTTGAAGGCTATTTATACTTAAGTGTATTGTGTTAAAGGAAGACATGTACCATGTTAATTTCAATATTACTATATTTTTTTAAAAAATTCAAAGTCTCTTTCAAGCATGTTATTTTTAAACATATTTTTAATGTCTTCTAATGAGATTATTTTTTATTTGGTTTCTTTCAATGACTTTAAACCCCTGCTGTGTCCACTTTTTCTACATACCATAGGTCATATGGAGAATGAATGGGAAGGATTTTGTTCTAATTCTACCTTTGACTACAGCCTGTGATAACAGTCTTTGCTCTGACAATACAAAGTAATTAAAACAGTGGAGATTCTGACTCAATTATTTACTACAGCAGGTTGTTTTGTCTCTGTATGGACCTTAGAAATAGAGTGACATTCCTACCTCCCATGAAGGCAGCAATAGCATGTGGCTCAGCAGCTCCATAGCGACAACTGAACAGAAAAGTAACAGTTAGTATTTTCAGGTCAGCTCTACTGACAAAGGGACACTTAAGATATTATACTTACAACTCATGAACATAGTCATCTTTCACCACTACAGACAACCCATGTTCTTGTAAGAAACCAGTAAGACATGATTTCAGTTTTCCGATATCATCTTCTACCTGATAGTTGTAGACACCTGGAAAGTAAGGTATCTGTTTCATCACAAAACTGTAACACCATACTCAATGTTTAATGGTTTAAATGGCAGTTTAAGTATTTTAATTTTGCTGAAAAGTTTTAAAGGCAATTAATGCATTAAATTATTCATACTAGACTAATTATAATTGAATATTCTGTTGATGCTACTCATGATGACAAATTACTGCATCGCTGAGTCAACTCATAATCCATGCAACCCATTTCAGTGGTATCAATTCAGACAAATTCTTTCAGTTCCCAAAGAAAAATTTTCACTTTAAATTTTCACATTTTTAAGTTATATTAATATGGAAACGAAACCACAACTAATGCTATATTTGAAGTCTGTAACTAATATTATAGTAACTATTGGATCTTTATATTTCTTTTGATGATGTTAAGTGACTCTGGTATTAACATACCTGGATATCTACCATGCTGCTTGTAAAATCTATCTACAGTCCGTAGCATCAAGTACAGCACTACTTCACTGTCTGGGTTATCCATCTGGGAAACTGAGAACAGCAAGAGAACTGCTTAGCTGGTACAGATGAAATGGAAAAAAACATTATGAATTACGGGAAATCAAGTATTTCCCATGTGATTAAACTGTAAAATCTGCAGTAAAAAGAAAATCTTAATGAAAACAATTTGCAACTGAGAATCAAAATGAGTCAACTGTCAGATACACGACTTTGACTCCAGACAAAACCCTATTGTATGTATTTGAGATAAACTGTTCAGTGAAGATAATCATGTTTTGACTCTTGACACTTGCTATAACAATAAATGGGATACGCCTTTGTTTTAATTTTGAGATTTGAAACATGCTTCATATATTTAACTGTAATTATAAAACAAGTCTTAAATCCCTTAACATACAGCTCAGTCTTTCTAAATACAACTACTTAAATCACATTGCGTATTACCATATTCAAGGAGCTTTCGCTTAAATTATAAATATTACAAAAATTATGTACACACAAAATGTATACACTTTGTATATTTTGTTCAAGACAGGACTTCTATAGGCTTAAACTTTGATAAAAAGTACTTCCAGCCTTTTTTTAAAATTTATGCCGTTCAAATAAAGTGCAATATTAAGTAACTAGTTTGCTTGTTCACATACTGAAAAGACAGGTTAAGAGGGGCCAAGACAATTATTCTTATATCTTTGGTCAGGTGAAAGAACCTTTCCAGCTCTGTCAGAAATAAATGAGGTACAGAAAAGAGAAGTTTGAAGAAAACGTTTTATTTATGTGTTATCAAAAACATCTGCAAGAAAAAAACCTGAAACATAGATCAATCTGTAAGGTTATTTCTGAACTTTCAAAACTAAATTTAATTCAACATTCTAGACTTAAAAAAAAAATCATACTTTAGTTGATGCCAATTATAAATATAAAACTGCATCATGAAATAGAGAGTGTAACATTTTTAATCACAAAACCATTTCAAGTTGAAAATGCAACTAGAATATGTGCCAAAAAGGAGCACTTACTGATTTCATCCTTGTTAAAAGTGTTTAAACCATATTCTTCAGACAGAGATCTACATCGAACCACTCGGAGAAAAGCTGAGTTGCTGCCTAAGCAGAGGGTACAGAAAGGAGAGCATGACCTACTTGAGTATGTCACCAGTTAATATATCTTTCTGTCTGTATCTTTGATGCATTAAACATGCAAAACTAAAACATACCGTAATTTCATTTAACACTTTCCTGCTTCTTCCAGCTTGCAATAATAAAATCTATTAAACTACATTTAGATCTATGATCACAAGTATTTTAGTGAAATACTTCATGCTTATTTATACTAGAATCTAAACGTATCTGCCATGATAATGTAACAGCTCACAACATTTGTAACTCTCAATTAATATTCTAACTGTACAGCTACAAGCAGGAAAAGGTGGTTCTCCAGTATCACCGTTATGAAACAACACAGTGTGCAGCTACTACCTAGCGCTCAAAAATGAACTGTGAGGTTCTCCAAACTCCCAGCAAATGATTTATCAATGCAGTGGCAGTGTGCTCTTGGCTATGTGCTTACAGGAAATTATTTTTTTTTTACTTACTTAGCCAGGCTGCTGAGTGGACGTGCATACATATACAGAACAGTCATAACCTAAAACGCTATCAGTAGTACTCCTCACCGCATCACTGTTCTACCTTTTCAGACTACCAGAGCCTGCACTCTGAAGTCAGTAGCACAGAATGGGCAGGAGTGATTCAATACTAATCACAGAAAGTAGAAGACATGGGCTACCTGTCGTTTGGATCTGAGAAAATGTCCCACCTTTTTTAAAAGCCAACCTTCATAGACTCACTGCTGAGAGATGCTGAACATCTGTTACTTCCACTGAAGATGACAGACACACTGCTAAGCACTTATTTTAAAAACTCAGATACTGAGTTATTGATTAATAACTACAGTATTATTCAAGAGTTTTTGATTATTTGATCATTTGCATAAACCCAGCAACAGATTCCAAGCATACTCACAAAGCAATTTTAATTCTCTCTCTGAAATAGATTCGGGTGCCTAAAAGAGAGAATATATTCATTTTAGTATATGCAATTATCAGATAATTTATATTTTCAGAGATACTAATATATTCATTGTGAAACAACTATTCATTCTGGTAAAAAAAAAAGATATCTTAAACTGTAAATAATATACCCCCGCATGACTTTTATATGACCAAACCAGAAGTGATAAATAAACCAAACCACGGATATTAAATTTCACTAGAACTTATTATACTTCAGCCTTCTGAAAAGAATTACATTAATTAAGGCTTCTCTTTTCCTATCTGTTGACTTACTTCTGTACAGAACATCAGGGTAAGAATATTTCTATCCTGTCAGAATGGCTGTATATTTGTAATTACCTTGCCTAGGGACTGCAACAATTTAGCAGCATGGTTACCCACAGCAGCAATATCCTTCTTTGCTTTTTCACGGTATCTGTTAATAATAAAGAAGTCTTAATAATTACAGCATAAAGCCATCAACTGTACAGGGAAGACCATTCCTTTTTTGCTTTATATTATTACTACAAACACTCAGAGGAAGAATATTAAGTAGCTTCAGAATAACAGCCATATATAATTAGAATGAAGTATTTAGAACTAAGTATCTAGGAAACTAGAATTTCTGCAACCAGGTTGACATACATATTGAGGAAAATAACCAAAGGCTGTTTTTAAGCAACAATTTTCTTTGGACAGCAGTAGCTGGGCTATGGGATGTACTATCTATAGGAAGGTCTTTACTAGATCTGCAACTAAGAAACATGATCAGTTACCACTCAATCTTAGGAAACTGGGATGCATGGAAGACTTAGGCCCTGGTTCCAAGCAGCAGATCGCATCTATACAGGGAGCAGACAGCCCCAGGCTGCCAAGCTTCCCTCACCCCTCCTCACCCTCGTCCCACATACACAGTCTTTTCTTAAAATAATACAGAAACTCATGCACTTTGTGAGGTCTGGAGTCATCACCATTTACTACCAGTAGTAACTATTCAGGAAAGAATTATATACTTACACATTTTGCAATTTGATAAATTTACTGGAGTCTGCTATCATATCAGGAATAGTGCCTCGGACAGGCAAGCTTCCTTGCCCCTCAGCTGCCACAAATTCCTTTACAGCTCGAGCCAAAACCCAGAAGGAGGGTGACTGCAAATGCACAAGAGTGTCACGTACACAAATGTTATTTATGATGCTTTTTCTACATTCAAGTATTTAATTATTCATTACCTGCTCTGTGAGATTTATGCAGCGATCATCATTGAAAATCTCTTCAATGCATTTTGGAATCTGAAAAAAAAAAATTGGGTTTGTATTTACTTGTCTCTTGATTTCTTGAATTATCTGAACACTTATTACATAGGCGATCCAACTCGGAGCGACCTCAGAGTTTCATAGCAAAATCTCTTCTGAATCTTACACAGTCAGTGCTTCTCAGATGCATTTCAAGTAGTAGCACTGCCTGAGAACAAGGCATTTGCTTCTGATCAAGATGAACGTTACAAACAAAATCTCACCTTATTCCCACCTCCTATATGGAAGATTTAAAAAAAAAGCTGGTAGCAGCATCAGCAAAAGGTACTACCAGTCCCAGGCGCCCATCCTACCTGCTAGAGGCAGAGCAACAAAAAGGCTGGGGAAGTGAAGAGGGGCTGCAAAAGTGTGTTTTGACTCCTTAACTGGTGCAGTTCAGTCTGGCACACCACCTCAAATAAATCACCAATAGTCTGGGATATGGTTTGAGGTGGCTCAGATGTCAGCACTAAGTTTTACCCTTCTACTTGCTTGGGAGGTTTAAAGTGATTGTCCAAGGAAGGATCAGCACAGCTCAAAGAAAAATGAAATGGAATCTAGAATCACAGAATGTGCTTTTACTTCATGCAGCTTTTGCGATTTACCATGGGTTAGAGATGAAGGAAATCAGAGGTCAATTCTAAGCCACGACTTGCCACTTCACGTGTATTTAGAACAATGAAAACTTCACTTTTACTGTTTTTAAGCTTAACCAGTTTATAAAAGGAATTTCGTAACACATTTCTTTAAGAGGAAAGTACCAAATCTGATAAGCCAAAGGTCCCTTACAACATTTCATTTCTATACAGAATAAATACTATAGCAAGCAGCTTCAATATGGCACAATTTCAACACATGGTTGCCGAGTCTCTCTCCTAGCAATATATTTGAATCAGACATCATCCACACCAGCGACTGCTAATTCTTTATAATTCTATCAAGCACTTTACAGTTTAATCTGTAAAAGAAAATCTGATAAAGTCTGAAACAGGAATACACTACTAATGAGCTCTGGTTACTGACTCATTCTATACTTGAATTCAAGTCCTCAGGAAGGAAGGGTTGCTTCCTAGCATGATCAAGGAAATACAAGAATTTCCATAAGTTACAGTGCCACCTAGTCTAGGTCTATTTTACTACACATTATTTCAATTTTAAAAATAGTACTAATCCTGTTTTACCTAAATATAAATGTTGCAAATGGAATTCCTGTCCTATAAGTGCCTAATAAGTTCCAAAAAAGTGAGACAGATGAAATGCCCTAAATTTTGTCATATAAATGTTTATTTTACCTCTGTGGTATTTAAAGCTGTGTTCACATTTTTTATAGCTTCTTCAAAGTTCTCCTCATCTTCCAGGGTCCCATTTTCATTCTTTAAAATACCTTATCGAAAAAAAAAAATTTTAAATTACACAATCCCCTGAATTCCATTTAGGTTTTATCAACAAAGAGACTGGCTTTGGATGTATTTATGGCATAACTAACCAGCAAAAACTGATTTATCAGGAAGACGCACCGATAAAACTAACTACATATACATTCTGCATACAATTAATTTTCCTGTGATGTTACACAGAAGCTACTCACCACAAAAATACCCGTTTATTTGTGTGAGAAAGAGTAAATTTTCAGAATCACTTTATTAACGTAGATGGTAGTAAAAAGGCAATTCAGCTTCTCCTTTCCATCCCCAGACATGCTGTGTTGGTTTTAGTCAAACCTGGCAAAGATTTATGTACCCACACTGCAAGACAGACCAGGAATTGGACTCCACTGAAAATGTAATTTAACCAAAGGTAATTACTACAGATCAGATCAGTTCCCTAGTCCAGCCTCGGGATAAGGACAACAGAACCACTCAGCAATCTGCACACAGGCCAGCTTTTAATGAGGAAATACCAAAAACTCAGTTAATGTTTTTATTCTACAATCATTTAAGATAATCTATTTCTATATCTTAAAAATGCCTCATTAATTTTAGCACCTGAAAAAGATATTAAGATTGAAACATCTGCAAAAATGAAGCCTACTGACCTACCAGTTACAGCATATTCAGTAGCTACATAATCTTTCTCTCTGTCTAGGCTAGTTATTTACAACTGCAGTGATTGCCAACAGTTTGGCAGGTCAAACAACCAACCAAATATTTGCAGTTAGTAACAATTTCAGCATCAAAAGCCACTTGCTTTCCTCATTGTCACTTTTTCCATGTTAAACATCAGTATTTTCTATAGGATTTTCTCTTAAGGCTTCTCCTCCCACCCAAACCAAAACACACTCTTGATCTTAAACAGCCAACAGTAAGAAACACTGTCAAACTGCGTTTGTAAGCAAATCTGAACTCTTAAGATCCACCTGTATAAAACAATCATTTAGCAGAAGAATACGCCAGCAGATTTTCATATGTTAACCCTGAAAGAACTTCTCACTATTTTTCAGATATTGCCTTATACATTTCTACCAGTACGACTAAGTTACTCCTAGGACATGTATTACCTTGCCGAATCAGTTGTCTGAAGGCTTCTTTTTCTTTGTAACTCTTGGGCAACTGATCACTTTTCTAAATTTAAAAACACAAAAACATTTTGTCTTTAAAATATCTACTACTAACCTCATTGTGTTCAGACTGTTGAACTCTTACGTTTGTCACCATTCACATACATACACTTGTATTTCAATTAGTAATTTTTTTAATAATTCCACCTTTTTTGTTACACATTGCCAAAATAATAATCTAGTTTAGAAAATACATATCTAAAATAATAATAATAATAATAATAATAATAATAATAGACTGATGACTTATCCAATTTGGCAATATACCTCGCTGAACCATTTTGTTAGATACTTGGCTACAATCACAATCCATGGAGTGTGGCTATGGTCCTGTAACAGAACAGGAGAGAAATCTTTATCAAGTTGAGGAAAAATAAAAATGGGAGACAAATTAAAAACCTATTTTAAACGTAAACTCCTAACACACCTTCCTCTATTCTAAAAACACAGTACATACTCCAGATTTTGATTCAGAAATAACATTTTCTAACTACTATAAAACAAATTATTAAATTATTATTCCTTTACTTAAAAGAAGGGTGGCTGAGCCAAGTTCTCCAATACTTTTCTGGAGTGGAACTTAACATTATGCACAAATACCCACATTGCAAAGCTTTGCAGCAGTAAGTAACCATAAAAACAAAAAAAAGGGGGGGAGGAATCAATCTAACAAAAGATTGAGTTGTCCAAGAATATTCCTTACTTTCCAAGATCCCTGCTTGCTTAAGATTTAAGTACATACTGTAACATTTGGTGCAGAGGCCAAAAATAGTACCTCGTGACTGATTCTACATTTGCCTCTGCTCAGATGAGACTCGGCACCAAAAAAAGTCATCTGCCAAGACATTTTCACAGAATCCCTGTTCTACGTCTGCATCTGTCTTGGAGCACATAGCGTACACCGCATACCAACCTTTTTGTCCATATGATCCAAGTCATAGGACTGAATGTGTTCCCTCAGTTCTGGAAACGGTTTGTCCAATCTCAGATCTTCTAACGTATTATCAGGATGGGATTCAACAACTGTGAAAAAAATTACACAACACGTTTCACAGCTTTATGTCCAGCCTTCAAAACAGAGCCATACATCAAATGCAGTGCATCTCCTGCTTGATTAACTGTTTAATTCTCAAAATAAGTGTTTTGTCTAAGTTAACTTCAACCTCAGGATAATCATTTTACTATTTGTTACAGTCCATAATTTCTATGCACTCTTCAAAGAATGCTCCTGGTGATGAACTGCAACTATATAAGACTTAAATACTAAATACATTACAAGTTTGGAAAAAAAAAAAATCAAAGTGACATTACACATTGTAGCATTAAACCTTTTACAAAAGTCTGAATCTCAGAAAACTCTAACCTGTATGTTCTTTGATAATGACTCTCATATAACCAACCAGTCCATATGTCCTGCAGACCAGGAGAGGAATGTTAGAATTCCAGAGAAGTTCAGCCAAACGCAGCAACGTACTGTAAGGAAAAACGTTTTTTGTTTTCAGACGTACAGAAGGACAACAGTTAACTAAAGTTAACTTGTACAAGTCGTTCATGAAAGAGAAATTTTCTATGAGAGAACTCTTAACATGATCACGATTCTAAGCACATAAGGCAATTCATTTCATACATGAGTTTACACTAGGTTAGAAATGTATTTGTCTGTTAGCTTACTTATATTTAACTCCATCCTCCCCAAATGCTCCAAACACCAGTTAAGCAAAAACTCCAGTGAGTTGTGAAAGAAGGAAAATTAAGAATTAGATGTGTATTGCATAAACATAATTTCCAGTAGGGGCAATTCCAACCAGAGGTTTTTGAATAGCACATAAGAAATACTCTTTATTCATTAATTCCTGCAAGGCATTCACCTAAGAGGCAAGCTGGTTCTCATTTCTGTAAGAGACAGTACCTCTAGCTCCTCTATTAAGTAGGGGAAGGGAGAAAAGTATGAACAACAGCCACTTCCTTACAAAAGCAAGATTTAACTACTCATCTATCCAGCAATGTCTTGCTTCTGGGGAGGCAGCTTGTCTACTGCAACAGAAGTACGCTCCTCTCCCTCAGCTTTCTCAATACTGACTGTTGTCATTTTTCATCTGTACTGTTCACTGGAAGGCAGCATGCAAGAGGCCTCTCGGCAGGAAAAGGTAAAAAAAAAAAAATCAAGAACTTCTGGTCCTGACAAAACTTATGTGGGCAATATAATTACATACACAACTAAAATGGAAAGAGCTATACAAAGGATAAATACATTTGCATAAATCTAACAGTATCACATTAAGAATACTTGTTATAGTGATTTTGGACCAGAAACAACTGTCACTATAAAAGAGTACTTGACATAGACAAATACACCTAGGAGTCAGGCATAGCTCTGAAATATTTTAAACTACGTACTAACATATAAAAAGGTCCACAGAAAAATGCCATCATTTACTACAACCTTCCTTCAGAGTCCTGTTTTGCAGAAGTTTTCCTGCAAGAATATGCCTGCAGTTGGAACCTGCTTTTACAACCAAATGCAAACAAAAAACCTTAGACGATTCTTTACCTTTCTGGTAGTTGTGTTGCAACCACCAAGTTAAACCGACTGAAAAAGGAAGGGTCATTGTCTAGAAGTTTTTCTGGGCTCTAAATTGTAGGGAAAAAAAACACAATCAGGAAACACTGTGAAAATTTCTGAATACACAGCAAGTCTGTTCATCATTCAAAGCGTTAAGTGAAAGCTGTAAAATTATGAGGAAGTTATAAAATAATGTTTAAAATACATAAATTGACTTTTTGCAAATAACCTAAGATCTTCCTCAAATGTTGTTTTATCAGGAAGCTACTCAAAATGTAACGCTACAAAGACAACAACGTAGCTATTATTTCCGACTGTTACCACATTGTATGACAAGAAATGTACAACCCATTTCGGAAAACAAACCTCTTCAACGAAGTTTCCAGAAACATCACTATTCAATTCTTGCAAGAGCTCAGTGGCACTCTGGGCACGATTCTGTTTTGGAACAATCAAAACAATGTTTAACCTCTTGAGATGTAATTTACATAGTATATCAGTACTATACATGCTACATGCTTTAAATTTAAAAAAGACTTCATCATAAGCTAGGATTTCTTATTCCAGGCCTTGCTTATCTGAGGAAAAAATAAATCCCTTAATAGCAGGCACTTGTTTGAGATCATTTTTAGTAACATCATTTTAAAAACAAGAATTACATGACAGCTATTTATTGATTTCCAAGAGTTACCTATGCCTTTAGTACTCTCTTGGTTTTGTGATTTCCCCCCCCCCCCCCCCCCCCCATCCACTTCTCTACTCTTAGCTTATTCTTCCAAAGATTTTATTAATGATATCCTGTTCATTTTTTCCATTCAATCTTGTCAGAATTGAGCTTATCATCTCACTTATGAGCAATTAAAAATAACCATGGGGAATTATGTCAAAGAATAAATAAGATTTTAACCTATACGTACATGTTCTTAGCATTACTCATAAAATTATGCTTATTAACCCAATACTTTCATGCTTTCAATACACCTAAAGTGACATTTGTTATCTCCTCACCTGGCCAATATGACTTTTTTGCAGAAAGAAACTGGAAAGGAGACAAGAAAGAGTTATATGTGAAGTTTTATCTTGAACAAAAACAACATTAAAGCTACATTCTGGAGTGCAGAATATGTTGCTGACTCTCATATAGAACAAACCAAGTTACCCCTTAAATGTCCTTTTCTTCTGCCCACCACTGTTATATTTTCCTCATGATCAGTTTCTTAAGGAAATTTTCCAATGTCTGAGCCTCAAATCTGAAAAATAAGATATGCCCAACTCCTCTAGAAGCCAGGATCACACTGTAGATTCTTTTTCACTAGACTAATTAAAGACCCCTTAGTACTTATGTCTTTATATAATGACATGGCCTTCCCCCTCGTATAACCCCTGCAAGTAGACAAGATACTTGTAGGTATCTACATGAAGTGTAGGAGAATGTGATCTAGAATTAGTAAACAGTTTTTTTAATAGGCTTTGTAAGGAGTTTCTTACCCTTTCCCCTGCTGCAGACAGCATTTCAAAGCTATCAAAGCTAACAAATGGCTATCAATCATGGTTTCACAATAATAAACTAATGAAAACTGAGTTATTTTCATCATCAAAATTACAGAAAATGCTGAAACACAAGTAAATCTTGTGTTGTCATATCTCAAGATTAAGCAAACAAGATACTTTAAAGTATTTTTATACTGAGTAGACCATTGTCTTTATAAACTTGATACATGAAACAAATAGACCTGTGAGATACAAAAGCAGCAGCTAATTAAAACTATGTAAAATCTTGCAGATAATGTCAAAATGACTGTGCACGCTGTATATGCCACAAACATCCAAAACTACAAAAGATTTGGAGAAACATACAGAGTACTGTAAAATTATTAAGGATTTTATAGGATTTCTTAACAAGTGTAGAGACAGAACTACTTATGAAACCCTGTTTGTTACTTCTCAATTTCTATCAGAAACTAGTAAAAAACCTACTTATTTCCAACATCTTCTCCAGAGACCCGATTCCCATCGACAATTGTAAATGAGCCAATACCTTGGAGGAAAAAAATACTATTAATAACTAGGCATTATAAAATTATCAAATACATTATGAAGAAAATCCAGAAGAGAGAGTTACTTACCTGGTAGCACTAAGTTTTTGAGTATTTCAGTTCCTGTTGCTGTTGCATTGATCACACAAACATGGGCAGATTCTAAGGCTTCTTGTCCATGGTCACCCCACAATCTGTATTGGGGTGGAAATGAAAACATCATGAAATTATTTTATTTCAGATTGTAAAGCCAATATAAAGAAAAAAAGTTAACCACAATTGGAGGCCAGCACAATACCTCCCGTCCACTGTTACAGGGGCTAAATAACAGTAATCAAAACAAGCTTTCCCTAAGAAAACCTACTGTGACAATCTTGAAACTTTCTAAAGAGCAACCCAATTTTGCTGATGTTTCACTTTCTCCACCTTTATAATCTACACGCAATGAAGGTGTGCACCTTTTTCTGTGATATTGAACTTTTTAAAAGCCAGCATGGGTCAAAATACTCTTCACAGTTTTGCCCTAAAACTGAATGCTCTTTTTCATACGATGAATACAGTTTTATGTTTTTTCATAATTTATAATCCAAGACACTGACACATACAAGTAGATGAAAACCAGTCTTGATGAGTTTGGTAATGTACTTAAGACATCTATAAAATAATATTCGGGCTGAAATCGTGACGTGACTGTACTGGGTCACAAACGCCCCACCGATTGCAGGCAGGCAGTAATGTTACTCTCTCTACCCGCAACAAATTAAGTAACTCAAGAGACACAGCAAAGCATTACTGCTACTAGTGCGACTGGGGAATGTACGCGAGCGTGTGAAAACGACCCCAGGCCAGACGTGAGGAATCGGCCGGCTCCCGGGCAAGGCGCCCTGCTCTCCTCCGGCTTTGCTCTTTTCTGCCTTCCCCCCGTGCGGCACAACCGCTCACGCAGCAGCTCGCCGAGCCCGAGAAGCCGCCGGCCCGACCCAGCCCGGTCCCAGCCCCCTTCCCCGCGGGCTCCCCC